GGAACAGGAGAAAGATGTTGAGTCAATCAAACACTCTCTTTTAGAGGGATATGAGAATAGCTTCTGGACATGCAGTGTTTCCAAACTTGGCTATTCTGGTACAGCAATTATATCCCAGGTATGCAGATTCTTTTTAGGAGAATTTAAGTATCTTTTGATTCTTTGATATGATAGCCTTGCTTGTTCTTATTTTTTTATTAAATATTAGAAGTTATCGACAGATAAAACCGCTTTCAGTCAGATATGGCCTGGGCATATCAGATCATGATAGTGAAGGTCGTCTGGTGACGGCTGAATTTGATACATTTTATTTGCTGAGTGCCCACGTTCCTAATTCTGGAGATGGCTTGAGAAGGCTGGTACTAGACTCTTAACATCTTGTCTCATATCTCTCACTACCTTTTTCTTGAGGAGTTCTTTTGTTTCTTCCTTTTGACTTCCTTGCTCTTAACTAGCCATACAGGATTACAGAATGGGATCAATCTCTAAGCAATTACATGAAGGTAAGCTTGGCATATATCACTATTCAATTTTCTTTCTTTATTTTTCCTTATTTTTATTTTTATTTTTAACTTCATCTCCCTTCTCTTTTTCCTTATGTTTTCTCCAATATGGAATGCACTTTTTAAGATTTTAAAGAACTTCTGGTTTGTATTCTACCGTGGAGGGGTTATCTCCAAAAAAAACAGTTGTTTCATGCTTGGCATAATTAACTCTATGACATCAATGAACTAAAGAATATAATTTAATTATACATTGAATGTGGATCCTTAGACTTGCGTTCCGGAATTTGATGGCCATCATTGTAATGTGGCATCAAATTAGTTATTTCACAAAGATAGTTTTCAGTTCGATTAACAAGGACAGATTATTTGTTATTTGCAAATTCTGTGCATAATTTTTTTTAAAGTTTAGTCCTTTCTTTCGCCAGTTTTGAAAGTTTACTCATTGGAATAGGAAAAACTTATCAGTGTTCTCTGGCTTTTAACCAGTTCACTTCCTTAGGTCATGAATATGTATGTGCTCTGAATCTGATCTCCCTTAAAGGGTTTTTAGACATATGAACTAGGTGACTAGATGTTTTTCTCAAAATAAAACATTTTCATTGTGTCCTTTGATTGCCAAATCCCAATGCTTAACATTTTTCTTATGCATGATGCAGGAGCTGGAAAAGTCAAAGCCTGTCATTTTGACAGGTGATCTCAATTGTGCACATGAAGAGATAGACATTTATGACCCTATTGCGAGTGTTTAAAAATTTGTATCTTTTTTTTTTTTTTAAATGATGTATTGATGATTATATTTGTCTAGTGCTGAACTGACTCTGCCAAGTATTTCCAATCTAAATATTATTAAGTATTCTGAAAAGCTTTGATTGTGTTCGCAAAAATTCCAATTTCTTCCCATATTTTTATCACTCCAAAACAAACTGCTTCACCAAGATTGATAGGCTTTTTGTTTATGATGTTATGAGTCATGCCGTTAAATCCATGGATTGTTTTTTCTTTAATCTTTCATGCCTGGATGCATTGGGCAATTGTGGAAACGTATAGTGTAGCCACAGCTGTGCTTGCACTGCTTGCAGATGCTCCTTTCAAACTGAAGCAGTTATTGTAATTCATTTTCATATTGGTTGCTTCAATTTATAGGGGAATAAGAGGAGTGCTGGGTTTACAAATGAAGAAAGGCAGTCTTTTGGAACAAACTTCATATCCCGGGGATTTGTGGATACCTTTAGAAAGCAACATCCTGATGTTGTTGGCTATACTTACTGGGGTTATCGACATGGTGACCGCAAAACTAATAGAGGTATACAACATTCCACATCCGATGTTTTCTTCTGCTTCCGGTTCCTATTCTTATTCATTTGAAAGGTTATCTGTCCCAATTTAGTTGAATAGTATGATTTAGTCATTGTTTTTGAAACAGGTTGGCGGCTGGACTACTTCCTCGTCTCAGAATCTATTGCTGACAAGATTTACGATTCATACATTCTTCCTGATGTTACTGGTAGTGATCATTGCCCTATTGGCCTTATACTGACACCTTACTTAAACTGTCAGTATTTTAGCTATTGTTCAGACTACCAGATGGATTGTCAACCCAAAAAACCAACTTCCAAGAAACTTGATGGTGTGGACAGTTGGAAAAAGCAGATGTAAGTGACCATTTTGCTTCCCTAATCCCAGTGAGAAAAACTGCTTCATAGCTGAAGTTATGCTACCAACTCTGGTTTTCTTTCCCCCCATGAACAAATTTATCAAATATTTTGCAAGGTCATCTCCCATATGGGAAGGGGGCAGAACTTAAATTTCCAGAGATTTCACTGAAATTTTAATTAGTCAGTGTTTGTGCAGTTTATTTTCCTGATATGATATCCACTTGGTAGTAGTTGTTTAAAATTTTCCATTTTACAATATTTGACTCAATCACACTATACATCCTAGGGATGTGTCTGAATATTTTTCTTACTGAAAAACACAAATCTCGTATCAAGATTTTGATAGCCAAGGATGTGGGGAAAGTCAATACTGAAAACACTTATAATGTGTGATTGTTTAATAGATGGATCGATATACGTTCCCTTGTCTGATGAGTATGTGATGTTATGTATGAAAGGAACACGGTACCTCGTTACTATTTGAAGATTTTGAATAGCACACTAACGGCCAAAAAAAAAAAGGAAAATTATCATTTCATCACCTTGGTTGCAACTAGAGTAATTGTTATTCGAAAATGTTCTGCCAACAACTCATAAGTACATGAAACTTCTTGTAGTTTAAATTATATTTAAGTACCATTTTGGTCCCTCAACGTTTCACTTTTTTATTTAAAAAAAAAAAAAAAAGATTTTGAATAGCACACTAACGGCAAAAATTAAAAAAAGAGGAAAATTATTCATTTCATCACCTTGGTTGCAACTAGAGTAATTGTTATTCGAAAATGTTCTGCCAACAACTCATAAGTACATAAAACATTTTGTAGTTTAAATTAGGTTTAAGTACCATTTTGGTCCCTCAACGTTTCACTTTGGTACCAAAATTGTCCCTTATCTTTAAAAAGTACCAAAATTATCCTTGAACTTTCATTTTCGGTACCAAAATGGTCCTTCCGTCAGTTAAATGACAGGTGTCACGTTAAAATGCCAGCAAA